CCCCTTAGAGTCTCAGTTTCCTCATTAATAAATTGGCATGACAGTAGGACGGTAAGGATTCAGTGAGATGCTATCAAAGCTCTGAGCACGTGCCTGGCACAAAGGCGACATGTCATAAGCGCTCAGTGCTGCTGCTGGCTCTGAAATGAGGGGGTTAGCTGCAAATATGTCTGGAGTTCCCTTGGCAAAGAGGGGTGATTATCCCCGCCCCCCCACTTCCCCCCTAGGGGATGGGAAACACCGCTGTCTTCTCGGCTTTTTGAGCGGTCACCTAGTCTGGGGTCTGTGCCCCCAGAGGACGTGGGTGGGAGGCGTGGCGGGGATGTCCAAGGAGGCCGGCGGGGGCCGGTCAGATGCCTTGTCAGTAGCCGTCCAGGGTCACCGCGCACTCAGAGGATGGGAGCCCAGAGTCTGGACGCGAAGGGCCCTGCGGGTCGGGAAGAGCCGCGGGTACACTCGCTGGCGAGGGACAGAAAATCCAGCTAGGACCCACAACGTCAGGCTGCGTACCTATCTCAGCAAAGTCTTCGAAAAATGCAGTACCCGGCCCTTCCCGTCCCCAGCCAAAAGAGTTTCGGGTTTTCGGGTTGGCTCTCCAGGTTGGCTCAGGGGAGCAGCCCCAGCAGGAGGCACCGGGGTGGGCGGGAGAGGAGCAGATTTTGTCACTGCGCGCCCCTCTCTCAGGTCGTCCGCTGGGGCTCAGGTTCCTGGGCGTGGGTCTTTGGCGCTGTGGGCATCTTTTCCTTTCCGCTCTGCTGTCTGCTTCTCTAGCTTCCTCCAGCCACTTACAGTGACCATGGACAGATGCCTTCACCTTTCTAAGCCAGTGTCCTCACTTAAAACGGGTGTAATCGTACCTACCTTGCACGTAGTTAGTTCTTTTTCTTGTTTCGTTATTTGCTTTTCTTTTTCTTTTTTAAATTAAAATCTTTTGTCTTTTGTCTAAATGAAACTTTCTACCATTTAACCGACATCTCCCTCTTTTCTTATTTTTTTTAATAAATTCTACACTGCAAGTGTACGTATGAGGTGCTCTCAGACTTTTGCCAACTTGCTGACCTAGTTTCACAGGATATTCTTCAGATATGCCAGTGGTTTGTTCTTTCCGGCTCCTCTTTCTCCCCTCCCCACTTCTCTATCCACCTACCAGGGAAAGAGGATAAGCACAACCAGCAATTGTAACTTGAAAGGCTTATATGCCTAGTGCTCAGCAAACACTGAGTTAACTGGGGATGCGAGCTAAGCTGCGATGAACTAGGTTGATGAAAATTAAAAGCAAAATAAAAGGCTCCCATGATGTATTTTTTTGATTAATTTCAATTTAAGGGCCTCAAGCAGAAGATTCACTTCCAGGATGTAAGACAGTGGCACTGGTTTTGAAATGAAAAGTGCATATTTCAACTCAAGGGGATGGGGGGAGAGGGTCATTTGATGACATCAGCTCTCACTTATCCAAGATTTAATGGGAGAGGAGGCTTGTGGAAGGGAGTGTGAAGGGCCAGCTTCCTGCCTACAGGTGGCCCTTGGCATCTGGGCCAAGTTCTGTGATGCCAAGTCAGCAGGCAAAGTGTCTGCAGGGTCACAGTGCACGGTGGTGTATACACTCCCCAGGCTCCCAGGTCAGATGCCTCCTCTGGGCTATTTCTGTGATGCATGGCTTCAGAGCAGGTCCAGACAGGTGGGGAATGTGCTCTGAAGAGGAGCTTCACACAGCAGCTACCTTCGTGGACCCTCTGTTTAGGAATTAAAGGTTCTGGAGACCCAGTGAGAGAACATGTGGCTAAAAGGGTAAGAGAACTGTGGGGGTGGCTGTGGAGGCCAGGAAGTGGCTGGGAGAGATAGTGACTTAGTTCTGGTGCATACCACCTTAGACCTTGCCCTGGGCTGCATGCTTTATAGAGCCTTGTTTTGTCCTTCCTCCAGGGGTGCTCCTCCCCATAGTGGGGAATCCAAACAACCTAGCGGAAATGCGCACCTAGACTGGGGGTTCTTGAAGTGTGATTTCTGGATTAACAGAATCAGCATCATCTGGGAGCTTACTAGAAATGCAGATTCTGGGCCCCACCACTAGCCTCTGGGGCCCTAGAGAGTTTGTGTTTCTGACAAGTTTCTATGTGATGCTGAGATGCAGATTTAGGGACCACTGCAGGTTTGGTGGCTTTGAGAGCCACTATTCCAAATCAAGCTCCAGGTACCTGGGCAACAGAATTCTTGCCCAAATAGTCCTGAGCCCACTTCCAGGGCTTGGACAGCTTGTTCATTGGGTGTATCCTCCCATGAGTGGATCACACCTCTGATGTATGCACTTGAAGGCCTGGGATGCTTAGATCTGTGGGTTACATGCATGCAGGTGAGGTCCTCTGAAGTGTGGGGTGAAGCTGGTGTGAGAAGAGAAGGGAGCAGGATGGAAGCCAAAGCCCCCTTTTGCACTCTTGTCCTGAACCCTGGAAAGGGTGAGGGTGGGCTGGTATTGCTAACCATTTATTAGCCCACACTTAAAAAAAAAAAAAAAAGAAAAGAAAAAGAAAACAAAAGCAGGCTGATCTCTCCATGTTGAATGAGAGAAATAAATATATCATTATTCTTTACACCTGCCCAATGCTCTCCAGCTAGTGACAAACTATCACAAGATAAGCAAAGATGGAAATGATTTCCTAAGGGAGCCCAGATTCTCTTTCTAGCAAGCCCTGCAAATATGGTTTGGACTGTATCTCCCTTCCCTTATACCCTGGCCACTCTTTTCTTTGGAGTGTAGTACTTGAATAACACTGGAGAGGCAGTGGGTCTCAGGGGCCAAATATTCCCACTATGGAATTAAATAGACCAAAGTATGGATTTCAGCCTCACCACTTACTAGCTGTCTAACTTTGGGTAATTAATTTCTCCAAGCCTTGGTTTTCCCATCTATAAAATGGGAACAATATGAGTTCTTACCTTACAGAACTGTTCAGTGAATGTGGATGAAGATCAGAAATATGTCAGCTCTCACAACATTTAGCTAGTGCATCAGGTGCCTTAGGTGTGTCCCTAAGTTTGGGGAGAGAGGCAGGAAAGTAAAACCTAAGATGACAGGTCCAGAGATCAAGGCGGTGGCTGAGCATTGTCAGACAGGTTTCTTTAAAGAAGAAGGAAGTGTGCAGAATTCCCCCTGATTTTAATGTGACCCTGGCCAGTTTGAAGGTCTTGGCTTCCATAAATCAACTGCCTCCAGCAACTTTTCCCTTTTCACCTCTCTAACCCTTCCCACAGCTCCATCTCAGGCTGGGGCATGTGTGTTAGAGGCAACTGGTCGTGGTCAGCCCAGAGTGTGGACTGGGTGTGGCTGAGGCTCCAGAGCCAGTGCCCCTGGGCTACATCTGGACAGGCAGTGAGGACTGGGACCCAGTGACACTTTTACTATTGAAATCAACCCAAAGTTTACTAGCTTCTGGGGAAAGCTGGGGGCTTTGGGGATTTTTGTATTTGCTGGGTTGTAAATATTTTATGAGAAGGCAGCCCAGGAAAATCTGGTTAGCTTTCCGCCTTGCACATTGAAGAGGGGTTGGCTTCATGTACAAATGTGTCTAAAAAGAAATCCAGTTTTGCCTTGGTCCTGAAGAATTTGCCTTGGATTTTAAAAGCTTGCTACCTGCAAGGTGTCCCCAATTTCTTTTTCTCAATTGTAACCAAAAATTTTATCTTCGGGATTAGTTGCAAAGCAAGAGAATTTCAGATTGGGTGGTGGGGGGAGGGAGCAGGGGGAATGCCACTCTGTGTGTGTGTGTGTGTGTGTGTGTGTGTGTGTGTGTGTGTGTGTGTCCCTGGCTGAGGTTTTCTCCCTCCAGGTATATCTATTTCTCATCTATTTCTCACCGTTTTCTCCCTCCAGGTATATCTATTTCTCATCTATTTCTCACCAGGATCATCTTAATGGATAGATGCCTGGTGTGTGTGTTTGTTCATTTGCACCCCGCCCCCTCTTCTGAAAGCTTCATTGCTCTTTTGTTTGTGGTTAAATGACTGAATTAAAAAGAAAGGAAGAAAATCACATAGCAGCTCTTCATTCTGTCTGCACTTGTTGGGCCTAAATGCCCCCGCAAAACTGTCTGCTGGGCACTAATGTTACCCTCAGACTACTGGGTTTAAACTAGGACTGCACCTTTAAATTATCTTGGAGCTTTAAAAAAAAAAAAAAAAAAAAAAAAAAAGCTAACAACAGACAAAACCCCCATGCCCAGGCTCCGTCTTTAGATGTTGATTCAATTGGATGAAGCAAGCCCTGGCACCGGCAGTTTTTAGGTTCTCCAGATGATGCTAACGGCCAGCCAGACGGAGAATCGCTGCTGTAGAGGTTTGTCACTCGCTGACCAGCGCGCACACTAGGTCAGGCACAGATGTAGGCGCTGTAGTGAGCGAGACGGGCGGTGACATCGTCCTAGCTCCTAGGGCTGGTGGAGGGGGCGGAGTGTTGCTGGGAAAGACAAACCGCTCAGAAGACAAATATAAACGAGGTAATTGTAGATAATCCTAAGTGCCGGGAAGATAATGAACCAGGGCCCTGTGATCGTAACCGAGGGAGGTTACTTCAGATCAGGGTGGTCGGGGATGGCCTCTCGGAGGAGGTGACATTTGAGACAAGAATGATGAGAACGAGCCACCCGGGAGAAGGTCTGGGGCAAGCGCGGCCCAGGCTCGCGACCACAAAGGGCACGTTAGTGGTTACGATGTCTCTTGGGGGGAAACCCGGGAGGCCGCTGCGGCCGCCCAGCCAGCAGCCACCGGCTTCCGCCCTGGGAGTCCGGCGCTGCCCCGGAGGAGGGGGCCTGCCCTGCTGCACCCCGTCCCCACGCCGTGCACCAGCCAGGCGGGGAGCCGGGGTGGCCAGGCCTGGGGCCGGCCGGGATGCACTCCCCGACCGGCCTGTCCCGCTCCCCGCTCCTTTCCTCCTGGGGGCGGCCGAAGAGCACCGGGCTGATCTCCCCCTTAAGTGGAACTGACTGTAATTATTTTTTATCTCACAGACGATCTCTCGCACACTCCTCTCCGGAGACAGAAGTATTTGTTTGATGTGTCCACGCTCTCAGACAAAGAAGAGCTGGTGGGCGCGGAGCTGCGGCTCTTTCGCCAGGCGCCCGCAACGCCCTGGGGGCCGCCGGCCGGGCCGCTCCACGTGCAGCTCTCCCCCTGCCTGTCGCCCCTGCTGCTGGACGCGCGGACCCTGGACCCGCAGGGGGCGCCCCCGGCCGGCTGGGAAGTCTTCGACGTGTGGCAGGGCCTGCGCCACCAGCCCTGGAAGCAGCTGTGCTTGGAGCTGCGGGCCGCATGGGGCGAGCCGGACTCCGGGGAGGTCGAGGCGCGAGCGCGGGGGCCGCAGCAGCCGCCGCCTCCGGACCTGCGGAGTCTGGGCTTCGACCGGAGGGTGCGGGCCCCGCAGGAGCGCGCCCTGCTCGTGGTATTCACCAGATCCCAGCGCAAGAAA